GGCCGGTGCCCCCCGGCCGTGCCCTCGGCGCGTTCCTCGCTGACAAGCTCTGTCACGGGCCGAGAGGCTCTGAAAAGAGGATTTTGAGGCTTAGAAAACTGCGCTTTAAAGGATGACCCTTCTGAAGCCAGGTTATTATTTTAAATATTATCTTTCGGCATATAGGCACAAGCTTTTGGTTAAACCTGTGAGGAGGTCAGGGAAAGGTTATGCCAGTTTCAGTATTTTTTTAAGTATATTTAAGTGTTTATTATAAGGGAGTTACTTTTAGATCATCACCATCCAAAAAAAAAAACCCTGTTCTTTCTAAGAATGCCTGCCCTACGCATATGTGTGTGGAAAATTACCTGAATTCTGATCGCAGTTTTCACATTTGAGTAAAGCATAAAGAAACTATTCCTACAGAGACCTCTCAAGTAAGGGAAAAAGTTTGGAAGCGTGATGTTAAAGTAGCTGTAAGTTGCTATAGTAGCAGTTAACGTGATATTTAATACTTTGTGTGTACTTTAACTATGATGGACAGTTTCAGTTGAAAGTAGTCATGTCCGAACTCAGATCTCATCCCTGTCTCTCTGACACTTCATGGTTGTATGGCTGACAACTCAAAACTCAGTGTGTCTAAAAAGGAGCTCTTAATCTTTCTCCGTGGCTTCTGCTTGCCTCTTCTCTCAATCACGGTTGACATCACCGTCATCATACCTTCACTCAGGACCATAACTTGGGTGTCATCTTCTTCATCGGGAACTCTCAACCATGTCCCATGCTGACTATGCTTAGCTATTGGGGATTACTTCTGCTTAGCACAGCTAAGCTTTTACTGTCCTTCCAAGCAATTAACATGTTTATTTAAATTCTCATTACCTTTCATCTTGATTACTGTAGCATTCTCTGGTCTGAGCAAATGCGTTCTTAGTGTCATCTAGATTCATTAAGAATGCTACTCCAATGATCTTTTTTATTTTGAATATTTCACAAATCGGTTTGCATTTCTCCACTACGGGCAAACTTTTAACAAAATAGATGAGCAATTCTAATGGCTAATTGTCATTGAAATAAATGGGACAGTGTTCTCTCACTCCTTCCCTTGTGCCAGCTGTGGTACCCATTTCACCCCATGAGGATTCAATTCACCTCACTCAATCAGCAGAAAGCTCCTCTTTTCTGGGTTATTTTTTTCTACTACTAGCTTAGCAGGCTCAGTCAAGTAATTACAGCATGAGATGACTGCTAGGCAATAGCTATGCTCAGCTTCGCCTCGTGGTTATGGCCTTACTCGCGTTACCCGTTGCCCGTCGAGAGTTTCAGCGCCTTGCCTTCACCTGGCCGCCGATGCCAGCCTTTACTATCTGTTCTTCACGGCGTCAAACAAATATCTTCACGCTAGCTCCTTTGGCGGCAGTCTCTTTCCATTGTCCTCCTGTAGTTCCTTTTTACAGCTCGCTTTTCTTTGATGCATATAGCTGTTTAGAGACTGCTGGGTCATGGTTTGCTGATGGATTAACCAGCATTGTCTCGTTATTTCCACAGGAGGCAGACAGTATCAGCAAGTTCAAAAAGGGATTACACAAATTCATGACCAACGGGCCATGAACAGATATGGAAAGGAAAATGGTTGTTGAAAGTACTCATTAACATCTCTAATTCTGGAAGTTTGAAGTGAATGGACCGCAGAGAGCGGCCAGGCTCGTGTACTCACTCAAAATAGCATCTGCTGTAGTCATTGCTGGAGACAAAATATGGGTAGAGGGACCATTGGGCTAACCCAGTAGGGCATTTCTCATATTTTTAAGTGCTAACTGCCAGTGTGGTTAATTACATCCTTGCAAGCGTTATCTTTGTTTAAATGTATCTTGTTTATGCTTCTATTTTCAGTGCTGTATGGAAGGTTTAGTATAAAACTATAAAAACAGATAAAAATCCTATAGTGTTGCAACAGGCCAAACAAGGAAACTGTGGCAAATTTGGAAATAAAACTGGAATAATTTCGGTCACCAAAGCAACCTATCTCCTTACTTTGCAGTGAGAAATACGTTAAAAGTTATAACTAAGTTAAAAGCTATAGCTACTACAGGGTTCTTCATTAGATTAAATCAAAGGCGTTTCATAAAATAATCTCTTTACTCGAATCGTTTTATTAATTAAAAAGTGCCTCCTCTGTTACTAATTATAGTTGTTTAAATGTAGCATTTAGAAACGCGCCTCTTCACGGCCGGTACAAAGCGCGCTCCGGTAAGCACCGCCGGCGGGCGGAGGGACCCGGCGCCGCCC